AGGGCTCTAGAGTAGCTCCAAGTGTCTTGTCCGCAGCAATTCCTCGCAGGAAGGGAGCATGTGTCCCACCTCCAGCGAGCTATTTATCTCCTTAGCACTTCCAAATGAGGTCACAAAGCTGCAACCTGATCGACAGGCTAAACTCCACCCCTTCACTCGAGTCTCAGACTGACAATAGATGATGTAATTGCCACAGGGTTCAATTCCCACCCGAGGTCCCTCATGAGGACAGCCAGGGAAATCCTCCTGAGAGATCATGGCCATCGAGACTGGGAGGGGTGAGGTTCTAGGGACACGCAGGCGGGGGTCCCAATCAATGCCACCTCACTGGTCTTATGCACATCGAGAAGCATGCTGGTGGCATGGTGGGGCTGCTAACCACAAGATCAGCAGTTCAAAACCACTAGCAACTCCATGGGAGGAAGGTGAAGCTTTCCACTCCCATAAAGAGTCACCGTCTTGGAAACCCTGTCCTGTGGGGTCACTGCGTCGGAATCCACTCGACGGCAGTGAGTGTGAAAGCAAGGGGACGTTGCGTAGTTTGTGGAAGAGTGGAGGCAGGAGCCACAAGAGCTTCCCACAAGCATTTTGTGGCCACGCTGGTCTGCCTGGGTCTGTGTGTCTGTGCACAGGCAGGTCAGCACGTCTGTCTTCATGTGGGGCCCCTGCTTGCAAGGTCAACGTTGCTTCTCTCCTGGGAGGCATTGGGGCTGGCTCGGTGCCAGCTGGCGACTGATGGGAGTCCCAGACCTACCTCAGGGGCAGGATTTGTGGACGATGCTGTCAGGGTGTGCTGAGGGGGTGTTCTTGTTGCTAGGTGCCGGCGAGTCGGTTCCGACTGGTAGTGACCCCATGGGCAGGGGCTCTGAGCGCCAGGAAGCCGGCACGGAGGGCAAGGAGACTGGGATCAGGGTTGTGAGGGCCAGAGGCCGGGCGAAGGGCCGGGCGGACTCCCCTCACCGCACGGTTCCTCCTAGGTCGGCTCCTGGACATTCTGCACACCAAGGGGCAGAGGGGCTACGTGGTCTTCTTGGAGAGCCTGGAGTTCTACTACCCGGAGCTGTACAAGCTGGTGACGGGGAAGGAGCCCACTCGGAGATTCTCCACCATTGTGGGTGAGTGGCTGTGCCACCGGCGGGAGCACTGGGACCCGAGTGGAGGGGTGTGTGCGTGTGTGTGCCGGAACAGTGACCTGCCAACCAGGACTCTCTCTCTCTCTGAAGATGGACGGGGTCCCTGACTCTGCGGGCTCCCTGGGATCACA